TGAGAACGTCACTGGATTTGTTGGCGTTGTTGGCACCGTGACGTCACTTGCTTGACATCACGAATTCTCACCGCGAGCCACGTGACACTACGACGTACCCGACTGTCATGAGCCGGAGTCGAGAGCTCGGGTTCACGAGAATCACCATCGCCAAACATTCGGGTAATATGGATCGGGTTCATGACAATCAGCATCGCCAGCATTCCGGGAATGGCTCGTGTTCCATCAAAGATGAGGATAGCCTAACGCTAACAATGTCTAAAGCTCAACCCCTGCTTTATTCTTTGCTAACCCCAGCGCATGACTATGATGAACACTGGCGGTATATAATTAACGTAAGATCACGTGGCCGCTTGTTCTAATTACGAGTTTGGGGTGAAAAACGTTGTTCTTTCCTTTATTTTTTTGCGCCTGCCATTGATCGGAGAAAAAAAACAGGGGTGTTTTTGTTAATGATCAATGTCAGAAATTATCTTTTAGCAGTCTTCACTGAAAGTACAAAAATTGTTGCACGATCCAGTTTACATGCAAACATCACTCAGGCACACAAACATGTTTTCATTGTGATCAACTGCGTCAGAAAATTACCCCCGAGCATTGAAAGGACTAAATGTAACTTATTAGTCCGACGATATATAGAACTACAAGTGTGTAAGGGATGGATACTTCAAAAGAAAGATCTATACTGGCCTCAGAGGGACAGCCGAAAGTTGACAGCCGCTCTAAATCTCACCGGAGTGTCGTTCTCAAGTTCTTTTCAAACCTTCGACCACCTCCGTATTTTGTTTCAACTTCACAGTTTTTGGATGCAAAATAAAAGAAATCGGGGATTACTGTTAACAAATGACACAAATATAATTGTCGAATTAACACGCCTAAACGGAGGAGGGAGTCCCCCAGGAATAACAAGTATTCTCTGGGGAAGCATCGAAAAAAAGAGACGAAAAATAACAAAGGGGGCGGTAGTGTAAAAACGTACTGTGTTGTAAAGGTTCCTCTGCTCCACTCTTCGGCACAGAACAGAAAGCGTGGTCCAAAAAACTACTTTGTATGAACAAAAAAAAATCCGATGTTATTTAGACCTTTTTTATGAGTTGTGAATGCGAAATCATCAATGTCCGCTCCATTCGTTCTTCTGCGGTTTTCTGGCCTGGACGGCCACGATCCCTTCCCCCCTCTCCGGCCACGCCTGACGCGGCGGCCGCGTACGCGCCACCATCTCCCTTTTACCAGAGCACGGGCCGTAGCGCCAGGCAGAGGGTTTCTCTGTGGGGTGGAGTTCCTTGGAACTAAGCCGCGTCGCGCCATTTTAGCTGTCGTTTATTCAGGAGCCGTTCTCCGCGGTCACAGCCAACGCCGGCTGGGCTTCATGAAACAGTTCATGCTCTCGCGTAAAAAAAAAAAAAAAAAAAAAAATCTGCTGCCAGGATGCGCGTTTTCGTGGTGCCAGTCGCTGGCGCCGTTCCACACGATGCTGCTCCAGGCAAGTATAATTTGTATCTTTCGAATACACGACTTGCATGAACGCGAACCTGCAGCGTGCATTTTGCACAACCGGTTTTGAATTTCTCAGCAAAGAACAAATCGCAATGACCATCAGCATATAGTGCGATGACGTCACGTGCAAACCATGTTAAACATTTGATAAATTAAAAGCAACGCGCGAAAATACGGGGAAAAGAGAACACTCAACTATCAACTGATTATTTATTGAAAAAAACGGCTTAACTAGAAACCACCCTATAATCAAACAACAACGTACACCGATGACGTGTCGATCACCGTGCATTAATAAAATCTGTCTCATTTTTGTCTCGATAAATTGATCACGGCTGACTGATCAGTACCTCGCGCTTGATTTTTCTCTCACATGTGCCTCCAGTACCTCTCTTTCCACTTTTTTTCGCCGCCTTCAATGATTAAAGTATCTTCGAAGGTAGGGTGACACAGCAGTCTCTATTTTTCAATTTATTGTCATAAAAAAGAGATAGATTTCATCGATGCCTGGTGAGCGACACGTCATTGACTATAAGTGATTTGGGAGAGCCTTAAACAATTTCTGATTTTGAAGCTCTATTAAATAACTATGTGTTCTTGACACATATTTAACTCCTCAGACGTATAAAAGTCAGTAATTGCATATTTTATGTGATAAACAACAATTTTGTGTGTCTGTGGGCAGGACTAAAACAAAGTACACAGAGGCGCGTGGCGGAACATGACGATTGCGCACGCAGACCGTCAGAAAGTGACCAATTAAGTGGCTGCAATGTTGAGCAGAGTATGCAATACTATTTTTTTTTAATATTTAATATCAAATCACCAGTTAGCAATAATGATGTTTATTTACAAATTTACCGGCATTTTGTCTAGAACAAACCTGAAACGCCAAGTTATGCCGAAAATGTCCACTTGGCTACTAGCTATTTTAGATCAGATTCTATCTGAGTACGAAGGTGCGTAGAGATTTTGAACAAATTTTAATCACTCTTTTGAGCATGATTATTCGCCTGCATCATGGTGCTAAGTGTAAACAATGTTGGTCAGGAAAAAACAGTTGCTATTGCCGCTCATTGTTTCTATAAAAGGTAGAATGCAAGGTATTGTCACAAAACTTTCGTGACATTTTGAAAATATTATTGTTTAAGCTCAGTTGTGTCGTCATCATATATGTTGTGAAACGTATTTCGTAAACTAGATTTTACGATATAAATGGCGCAGGGACGTAGCCAGGGTTTTTATTCAGGGTGGGCGCCCATGACAGGGAAAGGGGGGAGAGGAGGCCCCAGCAAAATGGAAGTTTTCGGGGGGGGGGGGGGGGGGTAGCTCGGGCCCCATGCCCCCCCCCCCCCCCTTCCCTTGGATACGTGCCTGATATGGCAAGGAGGTGCCCATTCCGTGATTTTATGCACTGTAACTAAGACCCTAAGTTCAGGAGCAGAAGATTCACTTTTTTATACTACGGCGCAAAGTTGTACCAATCACGGGTATTTTAGGCGACATACCAGACTGATAACCTTTCGATTCAGGTAAAATATATGCGACTGAGATAAACAAATAGATCTTGAGTCGTATAAACTTCGGTTTGTTTGTTAATCTAACTTTTGTTTTACTGTTTCGTTGAAATTAAATAACGCAATTCCTTACTTTTTATGCCCGAAAATAAAAGCGGATTGTACGAATGATACACAGCTATTTGGTTTCGCGTTTCACGTTTCACGGTTCTAATAGTGTCTATTGCCAAAACAACGCGGAAAATATGTTGTCATTTTAGCGGTTCAAACCTGTTTGGACGTTATTTTTTTCTCTACGGACCTGAACCGGAACTGAACCGAAAGCCGGGAGCCCGAACCCGAACCGAACCGATGAAAGTTTCGGTTCGACGCTCTAATTCAGGCAATAAATCCTTTTCAAACGGCATGTCCTTAATGTGGGGTCTATAAATTAAATCAATCAAATAATAGTGACCAATAGTACCCATTCCGTTCCCCCCATTCCTTGTTCTACACTTCCTTTCCCCCTTTTTTTTTTGTTTTCTTTCGATGTTTCTTATGAGCCATGCGCAGCAAGTTCAGTGCTCTTATCATTCCCGTTGCGAAAGTGCCCAATATTGCATCTGATTGGGAAGAGCAATGCTCAAAATTGTATTTGGGCAATATGTGCAATAGAATTGTTTGCAAGGGTTCATTTTCTGTATATAAATAAAATTCAGCCATACATTCCCCAATATGTAATTAAACACGAATAACGCGCGCTTGTCAATTTCCCCAAACGCACTCACCTGCTTTTGCTTTCCCCGACCTCAACCAATCACGATGCGAGCTCAACTGCCACGTCATCGCGCGTTCCCTGCGCCTTCTCTCTGCTGCCCTTTGATTAACGTGTTCCTCCTCGCATTCCGATGCGCGCCAAAGACGTATTTTGGCACACTTGCTCGCCATATACATACCATTCGCTGAACAGCTCGGTGTAACTTCATTTCTTTCTTCGGTTTTCCCTATATGTACACTTACCTTCCTTTAATTGTTCGAATACACTGAAGTAGCGGTACACTTACATCTGTCCAAGTCGGGAGGACGGCGTAGCCCCTGACCGCATGCGGGCTCCAAGCTCTGCTCATTGACAGCGCCAGCTCCGCCTATCCGGTAAGGTTGCGCCATCTATCGCGGATCTTTCAAAACTTCACAGGAGGATGGGCGCCGCAACCCGTCGGTGGCGCCAGTGGTGCGCGACGATTCATTCTTCAGTGCGTAATATACGCAATCAGGCACAATGAACATCTTCAACATCAAACGCCAAGCAAAAATAATGAAAAAATTACTTTTCTTTTTTTAATGACTGTGCATATATTTTTTGATGGAAGCAAACTCCTCACATACCGAGCCTCAGTTCACTCAAAAGAATGACAAACACAACAGGCATAGGGCTCCTCCAATTGGTTGCATCAAGGTAGTTATGTATAACATTCCATGTGACACCGTTGCTTTCGTGCTTGTTATCTTTTACGAGTGGACCCGTTTTCTTTGGGTCACTCTCGAACTAAGAAGTCTGATCTACAAATTATACAGGGTGCTTTTTCTTAGGCTTTTGCAGAATTGCTTTTAAACAAAGCCGTGGAAACTGCACTAATGTTATCTGTGCAAGTGATTCGTACACTCAAGGCGACATAATTGGGGGGATTAATCGTCACGATAAGTCAAATAATCAACTAATATTTGTTAATTATTGCTTTACTTTGTGAAGAAACACATAATGCTCCAATTAGAAACTTGCTGAGCGTCATTAAAAACCACCAAATCAGTAAATTCGAGATACTTAGAGTGCGTGGGAAGCGCAGTGGGATGCTAAAGTTACAACTCATGCAATAGACGGAAGGCTGGCAGCGCGAAAACGCGGATAAGAGACTAAAAAATGGCGCGGGTGTGTTTTCGCAGCCCCAGCCTTGTGCTTGTTGCATGAGGGGAACCTTGAGCGAACCACTGCACGTCTTTAACACAGTCTGCACTTATGCCCGAGGATGTAGTCGGGCGATTTATTCAGCCGATTTGAATATAGAAATCACCAAATGAGATATCACATAGGACAAAGATGTTTTCGTTTTGTATTTCCCGAGGGCGTAGTAAACAGAGTAGTCGTGTAAAGGACGGTTTACTATAGTCCCCGAAAGGTTATTGAGCGCATAATTCTTTCCCGCCCGAGCAATGCCGCTGCTGCAGTCCATTCTCCTGCCGAATGATGCCAAGTTGTTGGTCTGCGAAGGACTTGGGACAGTCGGTGTACCGATGGGCCATACTGAGGCATTGCGTCAGTTGGTAATAGGGACTGGAAACAAAAGACATGACAAAATATTGCAATTATTGTCGAACCGCAAGGTACTCATTTATTTTATCTTTTTTTTTTTACTGCATATGCACTGCCAGCCTTGATGTTGAAGTAGCAGGGCAAGCTCGCTCAAAACACAAACATTCTCGAACAGACAAAATAGTATCTACAAAGGCGGACACATTCCGCACTATTTACAGCGTTGATTGATAGGCTGTTCTATTCATTAATATCTTTATCAAAAAAACGTTTATGAAAATGGTAAAGCGAATACCCCGCAAACTGAGGCATGGTGACCTCTTTCATAGTAGTGTACGGCACAAGACTATATGGGATTTGTATCCAGAGAGCCTATTCCACGATTACTTAGGGAAATATTTCAGGCTCACGTTTTCCGAAAATATCGCGTCAACCTTTATATCACAAAATGTACGGTGAATTTTTGTATTCAACTTGAATTTCATAGGGTATTTGCGCCAAGGGGGAACTTGTTTAAAAGCGCTTTGTACGATGGGACAGTGAAATTATTTGTAGAGAGATAAAAATAATAACTCCAGGCGTGGCAAACGTATTCCTAATTACTCGAATGAAGACCGAAAACGAGTTACTTTACACGAACTGCACGATAGATTCAAAACAATGATGAATTGAATATCGCTGTTTAGAAATAAGCATTTTAAACAAGGGTGTCACGAATCATCAGCGCTTGTCTCTCCAATGTTAACGGGTAATTAATGCGCGTCAACAGCGCGACATATTCTAGGTGACTTTCTCAACATATTCAAATAAAAATGCGAACCCGCCCCTTTGGAGTGGCCGTCCTAACTGGCTAAGCCGTACCGCTGTTTGAATGTTCTATTTGTTGACGAAATGTCAAGTCACAAACATTGTTACTAAGGCATATCAGTCTCACCAGCAGCTTCGCGTCGAAGCCGTCTTGCGGAGGTTATCTTCGAGTTTCTCTTTGCAGCGTCTTGCCTCACGATAGAATCCCATGTCGTCGCAGCAGAATGAAATGCTGATAACTGCAAATTATGTACTTCTTTATTTCAAGGCATTTTATCGTGAAAACACATCGTCATTTTTGAACTATCACATTTGGTGATAGTTCAAAGCTGAAGCTACATATAGACCTTTGCATCACTCACCACCACGGCGAAAAATGCTGAGTCACTGAGCTGTGAACGCATGCGCAGCGTCCGATATACCGCACAGCAGGTCAACAGCGCATGCTCAGAAGGCATTCCACAGCCCAACAGACAAAGAGGGCAGCGCAGAAGGCTATATTTTGCAAGGGTCTATAAAAGGCACAGCTGCAACAATTTTCCATTGGGTTTACATTTCTGTGGCGGGTTATTATGTGATGGAAACAAGCTCCTATGGAAAGATTTGATCGTAAAGGGCTCAGAGGAACTCAAAAATGCAATTTTGAATATATTCCAAACGTCAAATATGTTATGTTCTCGCATCTTATGATATGCAGTGAGTGATATTCCCTATTTTTTTGTGACTCATATTACTATGCCCCTCAGTGTCGTTGAAGTTTTCTTTAATTGGCCTATCTCCCAGAACAGTGCATACAGTAAATTAAACCCTTGTTCCAAAATTGTTCACTTGTACTCAAACGATCATTTTCCACTTGATACCTATCAAAGCCTCTTGCTGAGGTGAACAGGGTATTTGCAAATACAAAACAAAATATCTCGGAAGCACAACTTCGCACATGTATCAATCACTTTAATACAGCGTCTGGGTTAAGTATTATTAATAAATAAAAATGTTAACTTTTATTCAATATATGCATAATTTTAAAATGTACACACGATGCTTTCATTGATAACCGAAAACTTTGGAGAAGTCATGTAAAGTTCTCATTCGCAGGGTTTTGACACCCTCCACTGAACAAGGAATAAAAACTAATCTCATATGTCGGATATAAGTCTACCAACATTTTGTTTTGCGAATATACAGATCAATCTTCAAAGTGAATAATATTCTTTGCATGCGTAGACCTACATTCAATATTAATTAGAACTTACGTCATGTTTGTTCCTCCAAAACATTAACTAAACAATGCGCATTAATATGACATTCCAAGAAATAGCTATTAAAACTTAGTTTCGAGAAGAGCTACCTTTTTTAGAAAAAATGAAATTCAGGGAGAATACTTAATTGATGTTCATCGGTCACCTGACGTAATGTAGATAAAATCAAACATTAAAAAAATACCTCAAAAACTTGCATTCTAGTTTATTTTTATATAATTGTTCATAATTTCCTATTTAAACCATGTTTATTTATGACAACGTTTTGAGTTGATATATTTATTACGAATTGAAAACGAACGGGCAGTTGGTTTGTATTGAATAAAAAACGATTATTTATGACTTGCGCAAACTGAATAGAATAAGCTTCTATGCATTTTTTTTTTCATTTGCAAAGATCTGATTGTGACAAACGCTATGTATATTTAAATTTGATTTCTTATGGCCTATTGAGTTCTACATTTTAAAGTCGAAATCATATTCTGAATTGTATACAGAAATTGGTTGCTATGCGGAGGGCAAGTTCGTCTGCTTCTTGCGCAGGGGGTAGCGGTGACGTCAGAACGCCGAGCCCTGATTGGCTGATCGCGCCCCCCTATCTGAGCGTCGTCTGCTCCTTTGCAACGTCGTCTGCTCGCAATGTCGTCTGCGTCTGTCTTACCTTTCCTGCGACTTTCGGAAGCGCAGAGGCCAGATTCACGAAACGACCTTACGCCAAAATTGTGCGTAAGACAAAACTTAAGAACTAATTCGTATTCACGAAACAAAATTTTCGTAAGTTTTACGCAGGTTACGACGAAATCCTACGGCACCTCCGAAGCTGTCTTACGCACTTCTTACGATCAAATCAGCATGGCCGACAGCGTCGCAGTCGCGACGACCCACGGACGTTTATTTTTCTACCTGCGCTTCTGACGCGTCCCGACTTCAAGCAGCAAGAAGAAATTAAGAAGTACTTGAAACAGACCACGACGAACAAGAACGCTGGATCCACAAACACCCAGGAAAAGCTCCAACGGCCTCGATTCCACCGAACGCGACCAAACGAGCTGGGCAGTTAGGCCTAGCAGGCGCTCCGCGACTCGGCGACCGTCTGCCCACGACCGGCTGGCGTGCTGAATGGAATATGCCCGCACGAACCCTTCCCGTATTATACTTTGATCGCTGACCTCAATTTTATATTAAGAGGTCAATTTCTTCCTCTTGTTATCTCCTTGCTTCCCGAGGCAACGGTGACTCTCGCCGGTGAAAAAGCGGTGAATCTCCGACAGACGCAGAAAAGGTAAAGCAGCCATCGCTTTGACTAGCAGACGTAAAGCAGACGACGTTAACTGCGCCAACCCGCCGACGCCGTTAAATAGTGAGGGGTCTCGCCGCACACGATTGGAGGGAAAAAGTATTTGGGAGGGAACTTGCGGACACTAACACGCTCACTCTCGGTTCTAAGCAAACAAACCTCGGCGCCCCGGGACACCTCGCCAATGAGTCCTTTGACTTCCCTCCTTGATGCGCGTCTGCTAGTTTTAGACAAAAACAACGTACCGCTCGAGTTATTTCGTCTGCCCTCTCTTAAAGGCGAAGTCGAGTTCGCTCCGAAAGTCGCAGGAAAGGTAAGACAGGCGCAGACGACGTTGCGAGCAGACGACGTTGCAAAGGAGCAGACGATGCTGAGATAGGGGGACGCGATCAGCCAATCAGGGCTCGGCGTTCTGACGTGGCCGCTACTTCCTTTATCATGCGCAGAAGACGAAAATGAGCCCACTTGCGAGGCGTATATAAACCGTGCTACTCTTCCATTCTCAACTCTACTTAAAACTTCGTTGTGATTTGAATGACATGCTTATAGACCTTGATCAAATCTTGCTGTACAATCTAAAAAAAAAAAAACAATTAAAAAAACAAAAGAAAAAGTAGAGTCGGGTTCCGAATATGGGCGCGCGGAGAGAACTTTCGCCCGAAAGAGAGAAAGTTTCATGATTGAGCTTCCAGTGGCGCCTCCGAGATGGCGACACTGAACTGTCAAAACCGAAACTTGGATGGGAGCAGAGGCATCACTTTTACCCGCATGGCCTTCGCTATTTACGGTGGCTCTCGTCATCGGTACATAAAGTCTTGCACAGCTGAAGGGAGGTCGAACGATTCGCTGCTATAGATTTTACGTCGGTGCAGGGAAGTAGGTAAATAGAACACACCTATTGTATTTTCTAGTTCGTGCTCTCGAAACCCGCTGTTGGAGCGATGAAGCCGCAAAGCCGGTGTATTTCGGGTGTAGAAGCGTTCAAGTGCAATTGTTCGAGTTATTAAATTTATGATAAATTCTTTGTAACTCTAATAATACGACTTGATTTAGATTTTCTTACTGCATATCCGCTTGAGGTCAGGGTTGTTATAGTTACTCCAAAAATATGCCTATGATATTTACGCGTGCCAATATGTAAGCTATGCATATAGATACGTTTTTCAAACTTTGCCTAAGAATAAATAAAGTGACTTCTGAGGTATTCATTTACACCACATATCTTTGTTTTTAGTAATAAAGAGTAAGGCATAATTTTATAGTAATTTTGTGTGTCTAATGTTATATCAAAATGCTAATGGGGAATACATCCGGAGACATATTGGCATACATTTTTTAGTTTACTTGTTAGAGGAATATACCATACTAAACGCCATTCCATTGGTAAACGGGAAACGTTTATACACAATTTTGCGAATATTTTGCATTTAGCGCTAGACAAAACACAACATAAGAGATATTCTTTGCAAGTGATCTCAGCTGCCAGCGCCCATCTTTAATCTGGTGGGTCCGCGCACCGCGCATTTCACACCAAGGGCATTTTGGTTGCTACTCTTTACCTTGCTTGGGACAAACCGTTCATTTCAAGAACGGTCTTGACTGAACTCTCCTGGTATGATTATTTTATTTAGAGCCAACCTGTGTACATACGAGCCTTTCCTCGTTTTACTGAAGATGCCAGCAAAGTACCTTCAGAAAACTTACAAGTTTCGGGCAATTGTACTTGCAGCTACGGTTACCAAGAAATAGAAGTACGTGGGTTTTACCTTAGAGACACTGGACCTATTTACTTACCGATTAGAAGTTCCTTGTGCCTAAGTAGTTTACAACGCTGCTTCAGGGGCACAGCAAAAGTTAAAGTCCAGTAAAGCACGCTTCAAGGCAAAGTCAACAAGTCAAAAGTGAAGCAAGAAAACGTTTACCACTGTGAGCGTTCAATAGCTCGCTGTTATATAGGCGTCGGCCTGTTGTGTGCTCTACAAGAACATCAAATCTAAATTCGCACTGCAGGGCGGAAGCGCAGAAAGCGTGTGCAAACTGTATAAGAAAACAAAACAAAAGGTGGTACCCACACAACCGAAAAGCTCTATGGAAAAAAAATCTATTTTTATTGCACCGTGGATGACTAGAGACATCGTGAGCTGGGTACAGCTCGCGCAAATTGTTTTTCATGAACACGCGGGCACAAACAGATTAGGGTTTCATCAGAGTCCACTAATGGACAAGTTCTGTGGGGGAGTCGATACGTACGGCAAAACATCGTAACCAGGAAAAGTATGCTTCCCGTCCTCATGGTGCTTCTTTCTGTCCCAGTCCAATAGAATACACACTCTGAAAGAAAGAAGAAGAAAAAAAAAGAGCCATGCTTTGCATTGCATTGGGATGGGTAAATACACGACGCAGTTAAATTATTGTGTTGGGACATGTTATAGAAAAACTTGGGCACCTATAGTCTTGTTTGATGAGGCAGCACAATCGTAGTAAAATTGAAGCTGAGTGCAGTAAACAATTATAGGTAAAGCATACAAATATGAATGAGGAATTAATCTGCGTTTGTGTACTCCTTTCTAAACGTTGAATGCGAGAGAATAGCAGAAACGCGGTGTGCAATGTTTAATGGGGTATATGTAATGGCACGAAGCTACTGAAAATACATTTTGTGTCTCAATAAACGCATAATCTATATGAGCTTCTGTAGTTTGCTGAGAATGAAAGCTTAATTAAGGAAGCTTTCAAACCAAGAAAAAAAGCAATGGGCCATAAAGATGAAGAATTGGCTGGTTGGTTTAACAGTCCGCACAGCACGATTTGAGTTAATCTCTCCCTGTTCAAGGTAGCAAGTGCTTGGTCATTTTTTAATGCGTTAGCATTAAACAATGACCAAGCATGACACGGAAAGGCTGACGGCGTCCGTCTGCGGACAAACAGTGGAAAAGGAGGCACGCCGCGTAGAGAGGAGGAGAGCAGTGAGAGACAAAGGCGAGAGGGAAGTGACGTCACAGGGTGGAAGCTAATGCGCACGCGGCGCGGCGAGGCGAGAGGGGGTGACGTCACGAAGCGGAAGCCAATGTGCGCGTGGATGCTGGCGCGAGTCTGAACTTGCAGCGGCGTCAGACAGCGGATGCCGCTGTTAAGCGTGCAAGGCGGGCGAACGAGACAGAGGAGCGGAAGCAGCGCCTAGCCAACAACACATAACGTCAGAAGGAGGAGGCAATCCTGGAATTTGGGCTTCTCCTTAGACTTCTCTTGGGTTTTTCCACTTATCTGCTCTTTCATTCCGGACAGCCGGTTATCCGAACGCCGCTTTAGTCGTAGTGCCGTATTCAAATTGTTGCTAAATATGACTTTAAGATCACAGGTTTGAATAAGTTTTCAGTTTTGTAATAAAGAGCATGTCATGAAATTGTAGTTTGTATATTTTCTACAACGAAAGAAACGAAACTACCACCTTAAAACCCAGAGCCCGACTGCCGGGTCCCGCCGCCGTTGGGCTGGAAAGTTGAACCTGGTTAAATCGGGTCCATATCGCACGGGCGAATGACGTTTTGGCGAACAGCGACATTTGAGCGAATGGACGTTTGAGCGAATAACGGGGGTGCATGTTAAGCCACTACGCCACACCCCCCCCCCCCCCCTTCCCCCGCGCTGCGCTTAGCCACTTCGCGGCGACAGTCTGCGGCGGCTCATTACAAAAATGTGAACCCACTTGGCCCACCCGTAGATGCCGCTTGGCGGCGGCCGACTATACGCTAAAGTGTCATTCGATGAAACGTCGGCGTTCGCTAAGACGTCATTCGATCAAGTGAGTGCCTCCCGGTTAAGCTGCATGGGTGTAGACTCGGGGTATTCAATCGTTCTTTTCTGGGTGTTCTTTCGTGTGTTTGTGGGACTCGAGCGTCTACGATGAACATAGAGGCGCTGCAGAAGAAGAGGATATGCGTAAAAGTCACTGGGGAGCTTACGCACGACGACGACGTCTTCAGTTATGTAACGCGCTGTCGGTTTCCAAAAGTGCTTTCCGTTATGCAGCATTTGTGGCTTGCTTCTTCTGTTAAGGCCCGTTCACACTCTTGCGACCGACTTCGACCGAGAGAGACCAGACCGGTTTTTAAGCCGTTTGCGACTTCTTAGGACCGGATGCGATGCAGCGGAGCTGGTCCTACGAAGTCGCAAGAGGCTTAAAAACCGGTCTGGTCTCTCTCGGTCTGACTCGGTCGCAAGAGTGTGAACGGGCCTTTAATGGCATTTGTGCAGGTTTGTCTGTGATTTTTTATGCTACGGCGTCTGCGTTCTGTTTCGTGTGTGGCTCGAGAGACTGCACGAAGTCTCGAGCGATGTCCAGAGGCATCAATCGGCCGTTGTCTGAGAGGTGGTAGTGCCCACATTTACTTGTGGCAGTGGCTCGGCTGCATGGATACCTTTAAAAGGTAAGAACTCTTTATGCCATTTTTTTTTCTCATATGGGGTGCTACGCAATAGAATCACACGTCCGTATCTCTGTCTTTATCAAGACCTCCGTCTCTCGTCGGAGCTACTAGCTCAGGAAGGTTTTGCTGTTTGTATCGATTCCGGTGCAAGCTAGCCATTCGACTAAAAAAATATGTTGTTGGGCGATAAGTTATACATATAAGGAGCGTTCATAAGTGACTGAGTAGCAAAGCCGCGATGAACTGCAGTAACTGAATTGAGTTTGAATAATGAGTAAAGCTATACGCACGAGCTCGTGGAACTCGACTGGAAATGGCTATACGCACGACGCGGAGAGCTCATGCCATTTGGGTCACCCTTTTCGAACGGCGCGTGAATCACTGAGGAATGTGTTAAGCACCCCCCCCCCCCCCCCCCCCCCCGCCCTGCGTTCACGCCGCTTCGCGGCGACAGTCTGCGGCTGCTAATTACAAACTTATTAACGCACTGGGACTCCCGTACACGCCGCTTCGCGGTGTCCAGCCGGCAACCCCTAGCCCCGCTGTCCGGCATTGTACTTCCGGAAAGGCAGTCCCATACCGTTTAGTTCAGCGAAGTTTCGTCGACAACATTAGGTTTTTTCAGTAATAATTGTAAAAAAAAGAAATAGCGTAAATATCGCCAGCTGCACGACAAGAAAAAGAAAAAGAAAAAAGAAGAAATGTTAAAAGAAAAAAAAAAGTAAACCCCCGCCCTTTGTGTATAGAACCTGGGTCCGCTGCGTATGGAGCGGACGCTCTAGAAACTCGTTCTGACCATTCGTTTGATACGAGGTCCACCAAGTTTCGCGCTGTGCCTATAGCCACTTCAGGTCGAGTTGCACGAGCTCGTGCGTATAACTTTACTGTTGATTGATTAGAATATAGCCGTCGAAAACTGAGATAGATCACTGCGGTGACATCACCGCCTCCTGTGTTGATGTCTCCGGAGGAGCACTACGGCCTTGGCCTAGCTCGGCTGGCCGAAATGCGGCGCAAGAAGCGGCAAGCCGACGCGGGTCTGTGTTCGACAGAAGCCGGAAAAAAATTTCAGAAAGATCCATTCGTGGATCCTCAGAGAATGCGTTAGCATGACCCCTGGGAAACGCCCCACACGTGCACTCTTCGGGAAATGCTAACGCTGACCACGAAGCCGAAAAGAGGCAGCAAAAAATAGAGGAAGCAAAAGAGAAAGCCAAAACAGAACAGTGATGGGGTCAGCGTTAGCGTTTCCCAAAGGGGAAAGTATATGGCGTTTTTCAAGGGTCATGCTAGGGCGTTCCCTAAGTATCCACCACTGTTTAGTAATTCAGTTACTCTCTCAGTTCGCTTGATTTTTGAAATACAGTTCGTTATATCACTAGTGGTAAAAACGCAGCCATTTCGAGGTTGTAGTCGATCAATGATTCGAAGATATAAATATTACCAGTGAATGGTTGCTAACAGCTTATACAAAACAGTTTCAAAGGCAGCTCATATTAATATATATTATTTTACATATGATATTTTTCCTCAACTAATTTGAATGTACGATAATCATTTTTGTCGCTTCCTAAGCGACAGGAGTTATACAATTATTCTTAGAGAAAATCTGGCTACGGGCGCAAGTAAAAACATGATGTTGTTTGCTGCAGCTCACACGTGTTGCCGTAATAGAAGAAACAGAGGGTTGCTTACAGTCTCACCTTTCTAACATGCTGCAAAGAAAAATCACACCGTAAAGCGCCTCAACAAAACAAAATAAAACGTAAAACATTTCCATCGCAAAAACTAATTTTATAACGCTAGTTCTACCACTCGTATAGCGACAAATCATATAGCAACCTTACCTCAGCGGATGCGTGGAGCGATCTGTGAATTGCCCGAACGTTCCCTCTTGCACGGACGCTCCCTCGGGGGTTGAAAGTCGCTCTCCTTGGCAACCAATGACACAGAAAGCAGGAAGTGGGTTTGCGAGCGTTTGGTGCCCCTCTTAGAGCGGGAACCTGTTTCCAAAGAGTCCTGTCCGTACGACTCAGACGCCTGTAGGCCTCGAAGGCAAATAAACGGAGCCTGGCTTGTCACTGTCTGAGGTAACCGTGTCCTCAATACGTCTACCGTAAGCGTCGAGCATTGCTGACAATTACCTACTAGGATCGCAAACGACGTTGAAAAGCGTTTTCTTTGTGCTTTCATAAACATGATTTTATCTGAAGGCCGGGTCCATATATTCAAACGTTCGTTGATATTTTTGGAAAACCAAAGTTATTTTAAAAATGGGACAAGATCTTTGTAGCAGCTATCCATCTTCGTATGGACACTGGATATATTAGCAGTATAACTAGAAAAGCAATGCTGGCAACCTTAATAACAACCTGGAAATAGTGATAACCACCTGAGATAGTGAAAACAACAATTTCTGGTTGGGAACAATAATACAATGGGCATTCAATAGGTCTTATACCTGGGCACTGGGTGCAAGAAGCGAGTGTAAGCAATTCTTTTTTTTTTTTTTTAACGATGAGGTTACTGCTCGTTCTACTTGAAGTACTTGTGTCGTTTGTTTCGTGATTTCTGGGGGCTTATAAAGTATTTGAAAATAGTGCGCACGCACACGTCTACACTCACGCAAGTACGGATTCACCCACTCATGTGCACTCACACGCGAACACACACACGCCAATACGCACACACGTGTGCACACCGGAGGACAAAGGCTGATATGAGCTCTGTTTAACTTGGGAAATGGTTCGATTTTAACGTCATGCTGTCAGCGCTTGGAGGAGCTCTTGGCGATCGCCGCCGCAGTTTAAGAGGGACATTACGCTTCCTTTCTGTTAGGTTATTTTCTCAACTCCTTCAGTGGTTATTACTGGTACTTGGACATGTCCTTGACACATTTTTTGCACTGTTTACACAAAATAACTTCTGAGCGCAGCGTGCCATGAAAGCGATCCAATTCTACTTTTGGATGATTTGGGGAGTGGTATGTACTCGACATCATAAAATTTTTATATGGCAGTACTCTAAAAGCCAGAGGCGGAAAACCTCATTCACACAGCGATTCACACAGTAGGATTCGACTACTTTTGTCTGGGTTAAGTTAGTTTACGTCAAGTGCGGTACATCAGTCGCACCTGCAACTTCTAAATTAGACGTCGGCGTGTGTGGCATTAGAGTCCAACGTACACTTCGCCCTTTCCCCTTTGGCCTGCCTCATTCTTTCCTATATCCTCTCCACGTTTTACCTTGCCCCAACATGCCTCCCCTCTCAGTTTAGGAGAAGGGGACTCAAAGAGGATTATTTTCCCTGCAGACTCGAACACGTTCAGACGTCGTTCCATGCAGTGGCTCCTCTCTAACACTTATATAGGACGGTTAAACAGCTCCACATAAGGTACTTCCGTCTTAGAATTTCGGCAGAATGAATCGCGCTAAACTTTCGCCATCCGTCTTTTTTTTTTATGAAAGGAAAAAATTCGGCAGAGACTCTTGAGACAGCTTGCGTGTAGGAATGCCAAAGCATTCCTACAAGCAGTGCGTCACGTCTTCCTATCGCACACGGCGCTCCAATGACGACATCACGCTCCCCCACTGCGCAGGCGCGGCGAACCCTGCTGATTTCACGACGGCTTCCGTGACGAGGCATCTGTGTTGCTGTGCTTTCCTTTGTGTTTTATTGGGAATGGGCCAATGGGAATTTAGGTGCCGTTTCGCTCAGCCAATGGGAATTTAGGTGCCGTTTCGCTCAGCCAGTGGAAATTTAGGGGCCGTTTTTCACCGGCTTCAGTCCATGAGACATTTAATGCTTTCGCATTAAAATTCCGAGGACACCAAAGCATTTCTTATGAGTTGTGAATGTGAAAGCATCCCTGGCTCGCTGGTGACTGCTGCGCCGCTGGGTGAGGCAGCGGTGAGAGTGCGAAGCTCGGCGCGGCGCGTGCTGATATCACGTGTCCTCTCATCATCATCATCGCCCTAGCTGCGGGTACCGGTTGACGACGTTAGACCTGAAAGCCTAACATTAGGCCAAACGTGAGGCCAGCTCATACCCACATGCCCCCTTACGTCAAACAGCCGCGCGTACCGGTCGACGACGTTAGACTTCAGAGCTTAACGCTAAGCCAAGACGTTACGCCTAACGTCACGCCAGTGCATACCCGCGCACCCCCCCCCCCCCCCCCCCTCCCACTGCGCCGCCAGCAGTTCGGCTGGCATGCTTGGCAACGATGACGCCGTTGCTATGGAATCACATGACGCGTCGCAGCCATTGGAAATTAAGCAGTGTTGGACAAAATGCTCGATAAAAGTATTTAAGTTTAGTTACTAAATACCTGCTTCATAAAGTATTTAAAATACTACTCAAGTTACCTTCGCTGGAAAGATCTTGAGTAGAGTAGAAATACTTAGAAATGTAATTCAATTGCTTTTGAAGATACTTCCGCATTAAACAATTTGTATCGACTTCAGTGGCAAACGCACTTATACAGTTGCACAAATCTGGTTTACTGGAATGGTTTATTAGCACGCAACAACACAAAACGGAAAACCAACCAACAAACAAAAATAATAGGGCTATTTTATGCAGTCCAAGCATAAGGAGCAGAATATCACTGATACATCTTACAAAACATTTTCAGGACAAAAAAAAAAAAAAAAAGAGGTCGCTTTAGCTGTTTGCAACTTTAACGACCTATGAGGGGCGCGCTGGTGCCTATCAAAATGGCTGTCGTCTGGATGATCGTCGTAGAACAGGAGTAAAAGGCGGGGTCTGCGATGCGTAATTAATTAGAGTTTTGATTTATACGAGTAGCCTTAGTTTACTTTTTGCCGTCACGCACAAGCCACAAACAAGATCGTTTAGAGGACAATGCAATCGCGGGGGATTGTGACGTCACGCCCAAAAGGCACGTCTGTGCTTAGTGCGCTTAATTTATAGGAACTATTTTTCCCGGTTAGTTTTATTTATAAACCGTGATCGAAAAGGTGTTCGCAGGGCGGCCCGCTTTAGCGACGCGTGTTTCCTTTGGCAGATGGCGGCGGCAAGCCAGCCGCGTGCTTTACCCTCCCATTCATTTACCCTCGGTTTCGAAAGGGTCCAAAAGCGGCACCCCGGCCGTGGCACGCTGCCCGCGCCGCCAGGGCCGAAGAGCCTTGGCATAGACGCGTCCGGAGCGCTCGAGCCATGAACACCGTCTTTCCTAGGGCAACCCCGGGGCACCTTCGTGTTGACGCTGGACACATGCAGGTTCGTACTCCCGATAACGGCGACCTGGCTTTATGATACGCCCTTTGATGTTTTGTGCTGATCTTTTTTTTAATAACTGTGTCGCGAGTGAACGTGCAGCGCGAATGAACGTGCAGGCTTCATAACGCGAAAGTGACACGAACAACGCTCTTGAAAGTGTCGAGCAATAGCGTCACTCACTTCGCACTCCTGCCACACATTTTGCTTAGATACTCTAAGCCACCTGCGACGGTGCTCATTGCGTGCTTCATCTTGTCTAGGTTGTCAGAATACGCGGTCTCTTGTTAAACGAAGTTTGTAAGCTATACAATTTTGACAAACCCAGACCATGAGCGAGTGTGAAAGTGCAACGGATCCCATTAAATATATAAGCTGAAAATAATAGTTACGAAAGTATATTTTTCCCACATCTTGCCACATCTCTTATTTTATTATTTATGATGTATACTTTTTTTTTCTATCGTGATTTATAAATTAGTTGATAAGGTAATGTTTGTTATTCCCGGCTTATTACTGTGAAAAAAAAAAAGAAAAGAAGAGAGTGCCGTGTTGTACAACGCTTTCAACGTTTTCCAAAATTTCTGATCTAGCGTTTGCACTATGGAGTGTTTTCAGTATTGAATGTCGGGATGTGTAAGAATATTAAAAAAAAAAAAAAAAAAACTTTCAACGAATATTTAAACGAGGTATTTTTATTTCAACCTCGTTAAATAAAATATTCATCTTCTGTAGATAGTTGTCATAAAACTATGCTTTCGGCATGCATTTCGTTTCCCCAGAATGAGCCCACTGTGGTCTGTGGGCGGCTGCACAAGGATGGAAGCACGTCTCCACTGTACCACTGTGCCAGGGCCACGTGCTCGGGCAAATGGAATTGGGACGGCCCGGCCACGGAACAAGTCCAGTGTCCCGAGTGCCTAGCCGTCAACTGCCTCGCCTGCCGGGCGATACACAAGGGCTTGACGTGCGAGGCATATATTCAGTACCTTGTCAGGTCGCTGGACAGCGGTGCATTAGAGGTAACCAGACCTACCACTTCTTTTGGCAAGTTCAGATTTTAAGCATGTGACAATAAGGGGGGAGGGACATAGGGAAATGTGGGGTAAAACGAGAGAGGGGGCAAAATGCGACAGTTTGTGTTTAGCGCCATCCTTCTCCTAGAAATGCGATTGGAGTACGTTCGAACTTCGCACAGAGGTCCCGTGACCTGCATGCTTTGCTAATGTAAAACTTTAGAGCTATCAACAAGAGTGTTCCGGAGAAAATAAATGCGGAGTTGAGGTTGACGTGTTTACGCCCCTCCAAAAAGGCGCAAAATTCAGTGCGAGGTTTCGCTTCGAGACGTGCACCCCGGTTCACACCAACGAGCTTGAGTCTTACCTTAGAGCGGTAAACCTGAACCCACTGCCTGCAACGGAAATGGCCCCCCCCCCCCCCCCCCCGGTTGCCGCCATCTTGCCTGTTTGCCACATTAGTGATCACGTGACGTTGAGATGGTTGCGCCCAGAGGTGGGCCAGATCAGATTGGCCAGATCGCGGTCAGCAGATGGGCACTCTGGGGCTGCGTTCGAACCTTACTCGAATGGCGCCGAGTTAATCCGGCGGATCAAGTCACGTGACAAGACTGATGCAGCAACGCTGGACGCAGGTAGGTTTTCGAACGCAATGGGTACGAGAACTTCACCCAGGAGTGAGATAGAAGCTGCGTTCGATTTACTTGCACCTCCTGCAACGGTGCAGAAAAGTGTGGGGTGGTGTACTTCCGGTCGTATGTCAATACATATACCGAAAGTAGACTGCCCTACACTTTTCTGCACCGGCGCAGGAGGTGCGAGTAAATCGAACGCAGCTTTTATCTCACTCCTGGGCCTCCTGGGTGAAGTTCTCGTATCCGTTGCGCTCGAAAACCTACCCGCGTCCAGCGTTGCTGCATCTGTCGTGTCACGTTACTTGATCCGCCGGAATACCTCGGCGCCATTCGAGTAAGATTCGAACGCAGCCCCAGAGTGCCCATCTGCTGACCGCGATCTGGCCAATCTGATCTGGCCCACCTCTGGGCGCAACCATCTCAACGTCACGTGATCACTAATGTGGCAAACAGGCAAGATGGCGGCAACCGGGGGGGGGGGGGGGGTGCCATTTTTGACCGCTGGTTTACCGCTCTAAGTTTACTCAAGCTCGTTGGTTCACACCCACTATTCTGGCAAGGTAAGCTTCAATTTTATTGATATGCTTTATTAGCTATATGTGGACTAATTTTGAGCAATATGTGGTTGCTTTTTGTAAAGTAGTACTCTTTTACGTAACGGGATACGCGCGGGGCAAAACGCGACAATCTGGCATTCTATGACGAGAATATCAATAACGCACGAGTCTCCTGGTTCCTCCTGAGGCATATTCTTTTTTTCCGGTGCCTAGGATGGTCCGAACGTATAAAAATAAAAGACTGGCTTCATAGCGCGAAGGGGACATGAACAAAGCTCTTGAAAGTGTCAAGCAACAGCGTCACTCACCTCACACTCCTGCCACACATTTTGGAGTACCAAAGGATGCGCTTTTAAGGCGAGCCTAACAACTCGGTGAATGTAAAAAACAACGGCTCTACAAAAAAAAAAAAAAAAAAAAAACGGCTACAGAAAGCGCGTTTTTTCCGACGTTTCAAGAACATTTCTTCTTTACCGAACTTAGTACAGGAAAAGAGAACAAGCAGGTTGGAGGGCAGCACTGTTCTAACGTCATCTCCCCACAAGGCGAAGCTGACGTTGGCGAAAGCAACCAAAAACTGGCGTTCCACTGCACCCCCCCTCCCCCCCCCCCCCTTTTTTTCCCCAAAACAAAACAAAGAAGCCGTGAAACTGAAGAGAAAGATCATTAGCGATCCCCCAAAGATGCGCTTAGTGTCCGAGCGTTCTGCAGACCGTGCGGTGCACACCAAAGGAGACTGGCAGAGCCTGGTAGGCAAACAACTTTGGAGTCAAGCAGCACCGCATTCAGTATGGATCGAGTGCATGGAATGCAAAGAGTGGGCTCATGAAGAGTGCGTTGGAGCTCACACAGTGCCTTTCAAGTGTTTTTATTGCAACAACTGAACGCATATCAGGTTTTTAAAGTGTGTCTCATTGTAGCCCACTACGTTGTCTCATTTTGCACCACAGGGTGGAGCAAAATAAAACATTGTGTTAATTTCAAATATTGTAGATTTGTTTAATGTTTCGCTTGCTCTAGTTAAGTAATATTTATTGAGCATAGAGTCAAGAGATCTAAGAATATACCCATGTTGTGTTTCTTTAAATATTGAAAAAACAAAACAAAGAAAAACGTTACCATGGAAATTAACGTTTTTTGTCTTATTTTGCCCCACCTTACCCTTCCACTTGGCTTGGAATGAGAGTGGGTGTTGATTAAAGATTTTAACCCTATTAATGGGCGCTCTTTGATTGATTACTTAATCGGTCGATCGGTTTTGTTTAATCCTACGCATAATAAATCTAAAAAGTTAAAATTACATTTTTTGCCTTTGCTGAATACGTCATAAACGGCGCAATGTCTACAATTTCGGAGTTTAATTCAACCTTGATGTGCAGTTGAGAACGGTCAAAAGACACCAACACTCACAAATTATTACTTCAGCCGCAGAAGCAAAGAGGTTCGCTGATATTCTCCGGCAATAGCGAACTGCCTTGGTTGTTCACAACAGTCTCTGCTGAGCTAAACGGACACTCGCAGGCGTTGGTGTGGCTGGGACGGGTACAACCTTCTCCACTTGTTTGGAGTTACAAATCTCACCACTAAAGTTTACATTAGGTCAAAATATCTCCTAAAGTTTACCTTGGTACAGGTGTAATCGTCCACGCCTGTGTGGTGGAAGCGTTGAATTTTGACTTTTCGTTTTTGTTAGTCGAAATACAACCCAGAAACCGTTAAAAAATGTATGAGGAAATTATGGGTATACCCATAATTTCTTCACTATTAATTGAGATGTATCAGCTTCTTTAGTACGTCATTCGTTGCTCTCTTAGTAGTCATACGAGAGTCAGCGAATGGGAAAGCTTCGGAAGGCAATAAAAGCATTAGTATGAGTTGCATGCAACTATCAGAAAAGCATATTCTAACTCCATATCTATAGAAGAAGCCAAAATATGTACGCGAAACTTGACGGCTCTGCATACGAAACCTGCGGCGGCCATCGAGACTATCGGAAAGGTGGAACAAGATTCTGTGAATCCATCGTTTGGTTTTGAGGAAGCGAAACGCTTCACAGACGAATAAAGGCAGATAACTTGTGAAAACTAATAACTGGGATAAAGGCAGAAAACACGATAACCAAAAATCTATGAGTGTGACAAACTGTGGAAATATGAGGAACCTTGTGTGAAATGCCCAGCTTGCTTCGGTCACTCTCAGACTGCCGGTGCCTACAGATAGTGGAAGACCTTACATCGTCTTTTATTTGATCAACTCAACTCTGAAGTGGGTTTGGCGTCTTAGCCATAGTTTTTCTCAACGCATTACACTGTAGAATGCTTATATTTTACGGGCACTTCATTTTTGTAAATTTCGCGAGTAAAGTACGTTCGCGAAAAAATTGTTATAGGAATGCATCACCGCAAATGAGGCCGAATAATCACGATTTGCTAGAACTCACTTCGAATTTCAGGTATAAAGATATGCGACGAGAAACAGAGAGAGAGGAGGATAGAAGAGCGCGGCGGAGACGTCAGAACGCGCAGCTCTGGTTGGAATGAGTAGTGTGGAGACGCAGAGCAAGATTTTGTCTCTAATCCCACTTCGAACGCATTCGATTGCCAAACCCGTTCGTGTTCGAAGGCGTTCGAAGAGTGAGCAGGGTCAAATGCAGCTAGCTTTACGTCTACCCACTAATCATTGCAGTCAAAGCTCGGCGTTTTGACGTCTCCTTCTCGCACTTGGTTTCTCGATGCATAAGAATGCTGGCAATCCTACCCATATCGTATGTGATGTATTCACGTGACAGGTTTATTGTTCAACATTAATATCCTGAAGCAACTCGAGGGTCAAAGGGGGGGGGGGGGGGGGGGGGGTTGCGAGATCCACCAGTCTGGCCTCACTGAATTTAGAGTAGCAGAAGTGGGAGAACGTTGTTGCCAGACTAGTGGCCAATGTCGCGAAAACAATCTGCGACTAGTATGGGAACATCGCACGTCCGCCAGTGTAGTGCTGCGAGACAGATACGGGATTCCTGCGATACTAGCTTGGCTTCAGAACTGTATCGCTGTACTGTCTTTCCCTCTGCCTCGGATTCAGTGTTCTCAGACTAGAGGGAGATTTTTCAAATTCAGCACAATCCGTCGCGAGTCTGGCAGCATTGCGCATGAGACGTGTTATATCTACTGGGTGATTCACTGACCCCGTAACGAGGCAAACAAGAGGTAGTAAAATAGAGAAAGCAAAAGAGAAAGCCAAAACAGAAAAGCGAAGGTGTCAGCGGTAGCGATTCCCAAAGGGGGTGTGTGTGGCGTTTCCCAAGGGCCATGCTAACGCATTCCCTAAGTACCCACCAATGGATCCTCCTGTAATTTTGTTTGTACGATGACTGCCGCCGGTGGTCTCTGCATAAATAGATCTAAAAGAGACTGTAGAGGTAATTACTTTGCAAGTTATATTTTACAAATAGTTTGCGTTTATTAAAACGCGGCCAGCCGTCTCGACCGTTGGGACCCCCACTGCGACCGTCATGCCCCGCCCTTACGATGCTGCCAAACTTCATCGGAAGATCGCCGAACTTCTCTTTTAATTTGAGTTTATGAAGCAGATGCTTCAGCACTAACCGTAGAATAAATAAAAAAAAAATAAAAAAAACGTTATTGCGATAATTTAGGTTGCGCATGTCTTCATCTCAATTTTGAAAGAAATCTGCCTTTACCGGAATTTTTGTATTTTCATTTCGGAGCATATTATCCGCTGAAGTCATTTTGCACATTTAATATTCAAGACGAATTTATTCACCACGTGCGCCCTATCATCGATCAATTCGTTATCGTTTTTTTTTGAAGAGTCAGGGTTTAGATTATGATGGCGATTATAAGACGGCATCATCATACGCAACCATGTAAACTGATGCACATGCCAGTGTAGGACTAGCTTGGAATTATTAATATTATAAACCCCGCGCCCCCCCCCCCCCCCTTATTGTAAGGCTAGTTTAACGTAAACGTCTCCGTAACAATTCCGTTCCATGTTCTTTCACATATTTCTGAATGTTCAATTTCATGGTGTATCATTGCTTCTGCTTTACCAAACCAGGATTCTCGGCAGAAAAAAGCCAGACTTCGAGAACAAATAGATCTCTACGAAAAGGATATGGTGACGAATTCAGTACCGTTCACCTGCAAAGTTTGTGACGCTGCAGTTCCAGAGGGTGAAGGCGTCTGCCTCAAAAGCTGTCACCACCTGTTGTGCAGGTTTGTAGCAGTCAAGTTTCTACTTCCCAGTGTAAAAAAGCGGTTTATGCGGCGCTCCAGTACGAAAATAATAGATTCCTTCCGCGCGTTCATATTTGCACGCATATATGACAGTTGTTTCCCTTGTTTTAGGTTTTACAACTGCTGTGTTAATGCTGTATTGCTGGGGTTAATAATATATGCGGAAATTCTTTGTCTTATTTGTACTGGGGGCTGCTAGATCTTGCCCCCCAAAATGGCCATTGGTACACAGTCAGGTGACATTGCTTCCATTTTTGTCCCTTTTAACTTCTAAAAATAACTGCTTCTCGCTTTGAAAAAAATATATTATCGCGTGTTTTATGCAAATCCATGAGCTTAGTTTATTTGAGGAGGGACATTACCATACTCACTGTATCATTTTTCCAATGGGGTAGTTGTCGTGTGTTCAAGATAATTAAATCAACTGCGGAAATTAGTGAGGCTGACCTCGTGATGTAAAATCACCTTTCTTTCTAGGAGTTGCTTGGTGGCTGCCATTGAACGTTCGGGCACAGTGGCAGTCAAATGTCCGTTCATCGGCAATGATGTGACTTGTGTTATGGATCTTCAAGACTCAGAAATCAGATCGGTAAGTGTCGTTCACTGCCTCACTATCTTATATTTTGAAATAAAAACGTTTGACATAATTCTAGTAGGATGGAATAGAAATTAGGTAGATCGTTTCGAACGTCAGGGGCGCTAAATGTGGGAATGCAACAAAGCAAAATCAAACGCGGAAACCTTGGGCCTTTTTTTTTTTTTTTTTTCCCAAGCCTTTAATCTAGGAGCTGGAACTCGAGTATCACAATTCAAGAAGAAGGCAAATAAAATTCAAGGGAAATTACGGTTACAGAGACTCCAGTCTTCTGGAGACAGGGGAGGGAATACTGGGAAACCCCGACACGCTTTGAGCTTCCCTCCTTGCTGGAAACGACGCGGGAATAAGCAAGTGGTTTAAAACATCGCTACCAGATAGCGCTGGTAGCCCAGCGGGTTCGCTAGCTATGGCGAGCCGTCGCCACCGTTGCCATGGCATTTTCCATCCCACATTTTTATAGCATAATATAATTATCATCCCCCGCTGCAGCAGCTACACAATTTAGCGATAAGTAAAGTGTGTCTCGTTTGTCCGCACGCCTCTCCTAAATAAGCATGGACTATTTCCGCAGACTTTGAGGACGGGGAAAAGACGTTTTATATGCGCTGTTTTGACGTGCCTGTCGCTGCATTAGATACAAACCAGAAAGACGAACAACAGGGAAACAAAAACAGGCGAAATAACCTTTTTCTGTATGGTTCACATCAGGCAGCACACCGGGGCAAAATGAAAGGGTTTGAATTTTTAAGATTGCATAAGTTGTTTTTTGTACTTTCGCGTTTTGTATTTATAATTTGTAACCTTGTTAATTGGTTCACCCTACTTTAAAAAGAAATAACAATGTCTGTTTTCTAGTCCCTTTATTTAGAATTTAAGTAGAGCAAACCTATTGGGATGCGTCTTTCCATGATCTTATGCCTTGAAAGAAAAGAAGAAAAAAAAGACAACACTAGTACGATTTCATTTTATGGGCACATAGGTCCGGAACGCATATTTATTAAGTGAATGCTGGCATCCATTTGTTCAATGAAAAAATTGTATTTTGTAGTAACTGTGAAAGAAAGTAAATTCCTCGTTTCAACGATATGTTTAGGTTTCATACGATAACTTTATATCTACACTCGTAAATTTATCACGAACAAACATATTTGCTGGCGTACTGTTTGCTCCGAGTGGCCGTTCCATAGACCAGTAATTTCTTGTTTGAATATGCTCTTGTCTGCGGCTCTCTCAGCGCCCAAAAGAAAGCGCGCATGCGTTAGCAGATTATTGTTAATGCGTTCGCATTAGAACGCTCGTTTTGACGAAAAACCGGCGGTGTCTCCCCTTTGTCAGCGCCGGGGAGACAGGGAGACGGAGGGGGAGAAGGTGACGCGTGCGACGTTCCCATTGCTTCGAAGTGCTGATGTCAGCACGTGCCAACCTCTCCCTCTCTACTGTCTGGTCTTGTCTGTTTGTCTTCAATGTCCCTCTTTCATTATCGTAAATTAATAACCAACACGCTCAACCATCTACAAGTGACAGACAACGCCGGGTTTTCATGAAATCGAGCCCTTTTGTTTTCGGCAAAGTCACGCGCACAACTGGCGCGGAGTCAGAGAAGAGTAGGCGCCGCGTAACACCTCCAAGATAACAAAGCCATAGTGCTGAATGAGATGACGTCATCAAAGGCCAACGCTGGACACAGATTGGAAACGAGTGCTGCATCAGCGCTCGGCTTCGGGTATAGTTTGAGCCGTACGTTGACGCAATCGTCGTGTCCAATCTGTGCCCAGTGTTGGCCTTCTCTGATGACGTCATCTCATTCAGTACTACGGCTTTGTTATCTGGGAGGTGTTGCGCCGCTGCGCGGCGGAATGCGGGCATGATCAGTTGCCGCTCTGCCGTCGCCGGTTCTTCTTCGCTCTGAATTTCCGTAGTAGCGGTGCAAGGGCTGTGATTTGTGTGTGTAGTTAAAACGATGGATGCGGTTCCCTCTACGAGTGATATTAATGTGGTTCTTTCCACGAGTTATATATGGATGACCGTATCCGTGGGTGTCAACGTACTCTCACAGGCAGCGTCACAGAGAAGGGGTGAAAAAGTTTACAGGAAGATCCATTGGTGGTGTTTTAGGGAATACGTTAGCAAGACCCTTGGGAAACGCCACACACGTCCGTTCCCCTTTGGGAAACGCTAACACCGACCCCGTAACGAGGCCAAAAAGAGGCAACCAGAAATATAGGAATCAAAAGAGAAAGCAAAAAGAGAAATCCAAAACAGAGGAGTGAAGGGGTCAGTGTTAGCCTTCCACAAGGGCGGACGTGTGTTGCCTTTTCCAAGGGTCATGCTAACGCATTCCCTAAGAATCCACCAACGGATCGTCGTGTATTTTTCTTTAAGATAAGGTGCGTGGGCATGGATATTAGTCGCGACACATGAAGCCTTCAGAACATATAAGAGCTAACGCGTATAGATAAAGCTGCATCTTCTAAATAGTCAGTTAACAGCAAATTTGAATGCAGTCAGACAATAAGCCAGATTGTAAAGGCGTTTTTCTTTTGTGTGTGTGAGAGAGATAATAAAATTGTAAATTTTCCAGGTTTAATCTTGGTCACATAAACACCCAAGTACATAAATAAATACAATCTGAGATGGCCACAGGACGATTAGGAGTAATTATATAATAAGTGTATTACAGAACGGAATAACATATTTATAATTCGATCCTTCTCTCATTACGGGCAGTAAGATGTATAAAATTTCTACGAATCCCAATTAAATTCTTCCTCCACATGTGTTCATGAAGTGTTTAAAACAACCCCCTGACTGCATTTTGCCCTTTCTATTTTTTTTTTTATTTTTATTGCCAATTTTTGTTTTACTTACCCAATTTTGATTGACCCTCGTTCCCCTTACAGCTTTTATCCAAGGAAGAATACGATGAGTTCCTGGAAAAAGGCTTAACTGAAGTCAAGGTGGCAGTGAAAAACTTCTTTCACTGCAGAACTCCCGACTGCCCGTGGTGGTGTCTGGTAGAGGGAGGTGTCGTCGAGGTGGAGTGCAAACTTTGCGGCAGAACGAGTTGTGCCCGGTGCGATGCCATGCATACTGGAATGACGTGCGCCGAATACCAGGCGTGGCGAGCGAGCAAGATGCAGGTTGTCTTAGCCAAAGAGCCAGAAGACAACCTCGATCTATTCATGAGCTGTTGTCTTCATATTGCGTGGATGGCGGGCATCATCTACCTACTGGTAAAATGTGTGATGCCTTCATTGTCATGATCATCCTTATTTATTTATTTACATTATATTTATCTTTCTCTCACCGCTATCGTTATGGTCTTCGTACAGATAAGAACAAGTGCGCCTAGCAAAGCAGGAAATCAGCCTTTCGCAACACTGGCCAGTGTCGAAATGGCCGTAACGGCAGTACTACGCCGAAAGCTTAGAGACAGAAGATACCTCAAAAGGCAATGGCTACGAGATCCGAAATGTTTTGCGCAAAACCTACTTGATTTTTATTATTATCCCTCAGTCGTACACTCATCCCCACAGCTAACAGATCATCGAGCATACACCCATTATTTAAGTTGAAGCTTATTCCAAAGTCGACAAAATCTTAATAACTCTATCCAGTTCGAGTATCCTAAAAAATCATGAGCCATTCCACTCTGCGAAGGTGGATGAGCAGTGAAGCTCTTTTGCACACGACACAGACCCGCCCCGAGGAGCCGGAGGAAACTAGACACGCGCGACGGGACCGCCACCCCGAAAGAGCGGGAAGAAAGGGAACTAGGCACACAAGCGGGGCTTCGAACGACGACAAAGAGAGGGCAGTGCGAGAGTAGGCATGGCCGGCGCGGGTAGCACAGCGGCGAATCTTTCAGAAACCTTTATTAAGGCGAAAGCCTTATATGTCTCATCGTTCATTCGACCTTCAAAGGCCTTGAGCCATAACACGTCGGCGACACGAAAGGTAACAAGACGTTTACGTGACCACTCAGGCGAATTGGAGGACATGAAATTAAGAAGGATGACAAAGCGAATTAAGAGGAATCAATGTAAATTAAGAGGAATCAAAGTAAATTAAGAAGAATTAAAGTAAATTAAGAGGGATTAAAGAGAAGTGAGAGTAATCAAAGCTAATTAAAGAGGACGACAACGCTAATTGAGATGAAATACAGTGAAGGAGGAATCAAAGCGAATTAAGCAGATCACTAAGTATGACTAAGCGAATTAAGATGATGATTCAGCACATTGCGAAGGATGACTCACCACATTGCGAAGGATGACTCAGCACATTAAGAAGGATGACTCAGCACATTAAGAAGGATGACTCAGCACGTTGAGGGGGGGGGGGTCTATCTTTAATGCATCGGCGCTTGGACTTTCGCCTTCATGTCGTCTTAGGGTTAACATAAGAGATCCTGTGAATTTTTATCTACCTGGGAGTCTACTGATCTTGAAAATGGTGCCTATTGAGAACTAATCTACAGAATAGATCTACTGCTAAATTATCCAAACATCAAGGAGTATGTGGGGAGTGGTGTTCCACGCGTCGCACGTGCCGGCGTCTGCAGCAGTAACTCTTCCAAAGCAAGAGCCTAACACAAATGGCATACTGCACGCGCTTTCCTCTACGCTTTATTTTGGTTATTTACTTTTAATTTTTTATACGAGAAAGGCGTACGCGTGCGGCGCGTGCGGCTGTGCGAGCGTAGAGTTTTAGTCGCTGCACATGAATAATCCAAGGAACCCTAGCCATAAACAGATTGGCTGTAAAACTGTCACATTACACGGTCCAAGTGGCTGAGAAAGAGTCCTGCAAGTAGGACAAAGGCACCTTGAAAAATGTATCCAAGGAAGAACATTGTTGAGGCTTCATCTGAAATGCCCACATATATAATATTCCAATTAACTGTATCTTATTTTCCACAAAAAGCGAAGGAAAAGAGCAAACAAACGATTACGACCTCTTGGCCTATACCGGGTAAAGGAAGTGAATCACAGAGAAGGTCCATGTTCAGTTGGCCCCACTGCCATTCACCATGACATCCCATCCAATACCAGCCATGAAACTTACACCGGTCCTCGCTCCGCTGTTGTTTTGCTGTTCAAAGCGAAATATTAAAATGGTTCTGAACACCCGTCTTTAAACGTAACACGCCCGTTCATACCAAAAATCATATTTTCGATATGCTTTTGGTATGAACCGGTGATTTACCGTCATCGTGCACTCATGCAATCACTGCGGCATATGTGCTAAAGCAGGTGACTTTTCTGTCCTACTGCAGTTGTCAAATTGACATTCTAGAGCGGTATTTTAAGACAGGAGAACTTCCCTCTGCGTGAAGATTCATTCAACAAATTTTACCTTCGACAGTACATACACAAGTACTGAAGTTCTAGGAAATTTACAAGTTTTGTATGGTGAAATAATTCTGAGATATGTGTAGAATAATGTCAACTTGCTTATGTCTCACAGAGATTTCATCCTCATATCAAGGAATATATAGCAAGTACAAACTCTGTCATCTGTTATCAAAATGCAGTTGTTTCAATATGAGCTTCCTTAAATGAAATATTACTTCCGTGTGGCTACCTGTCCTAAAAGAACAGTACTTGCTATTTGAAATTTCCTTGCTCAGATCGAGTCAACCGTGATATTTTTGGGGCTTCACAACTATGTTACTGTTGGGAGTTTGTAGACACATATGTCAGCGTAATAAAGTCGGAAGTCTAGCAGTAGCACACAGATATGTATGCGTTATGAAGTCGGACAGATACCCATCAAGGCACACAAAGAATAATAGTGTATTTTTTGCATCTGAGGGTTTTTATTTTTTTTATTTGAGGCAATTAAGACCTCTCTATGTGTTGTCAACTTTTTTTTTTGTTCCTAAGTCTTGGGTGTTTAAGATGTCTCAAGTTCACCAGCTCGCCTGCCTGTTTTTTGTTATTTCTATGATTTAACAGAGTAAAGAACGAATTGTCAATGTGCTTAATAATAATCAATTATTAGTGATGTAATGACCCGTTTTACTCGAAGTGCATGAGGTCTTTGATAACGTTATTTCCTTGTAGTCGAAAGCTTAGAATAATGCATCACTAAAGTCGCTGTAGGTTCTTACCGGAAACGTTCACGTAACGGAGAAAACGTATTATTTAATACTTACGCTTCTAGGGCACATATTGCATATATATTTTACAAAGCCACGATAAAGAATCATGCTAAATCACAAGTCAAAGTGATATATAACTCCAATAAACGAAGCCGAATGACCAAAGCTAATTATCAGGTCACCGATAACGTTCACGAGATTGCTGTTTCTGGGTCTGCATTTATTTTATCGAACAGTAAAACGATATAATATATCCCGGACATCCGTCGGAAACTGGGGTGCTACGCGTGCGATATTTTTTAGTCATTTTCTGTACACCTTTGGTTTTGTTCATGCCACTTCAGGTTTCTTGAAATGGCATGTTTGGATTACAAGTCGTGCGTTAATATGATTATTTAAATGTTTCCTTCATTTTTTCATGCTTTTCAATAAAGCGTTGGATAAAAGCCAGTGCTTCGCTTCTCCATGTACGCCTTTGTCTTCTGTTCTTCTCGTTGTTTTTATATGGGTTTTAGCCTCTTCAATTATACACTAGCTCACGTCTCCGTTTTTGGCTCGGGATTTTAAGAACGTCACTTTACTGAACCTGGATGAATCGGGGCTGCAAACATTTTTGTACAGATTTACGTCTTGTAAAAAATATTATCTGACGAAATATTTCAATAGTCTAGTAACGCCTACACTTCGTCTAGGAAGATTTTTTTTTTTCTTTCTGTGTGTACGTGAAGAGTTGTGAAGAGAGCCAGTGCAAACGCGTGACTTCAGATAGCGATTTTATAGTACCAGTTAGTGCTGGTCGAAACCAGGGCCGGATGAAAGAATTTTGGGGCCCTGGGCTAAAGCAGTTCATAAGTCCCCTAATGACATAGTACTGAATATGATGACGACGGTTGTGATGGTAACGACAGTGACGGCACTATGCACATTTCACCACATTATAAAATGCAAATATCGTTCATTTTATGATACGTGTTAGGAGGTTTCTCTATTGGTAGATTCGACAATTAGGAAATTCGGGTTTCACTGGGTGGAAATGAAGCAGATGCAATTCTGGGTTAGAGGCTGTTTCGGAAGTAGTGAATAACTCACTGAGAGCACAAAGCAATGAACGTTTGGTGTAAATGTTAAGAAGTGTCGCACACATTGAGCAGCTCCATCACCTCGTAAACGTCTATTGAAAAGTTCAAAATGATGACTTCGCGTTCCTATGAACTTGTTTGAACAGGTATACCACCTTATTTGCTCAGCACGTGTCTCTGCCGGCTTGCATAAATTCATCATGATGTTGAGTTGGAGAGATGGCACAAATGCTTCCTTTGATGTCGAGTGGCATGATTACTTGGTCACAAATTCCATTAGAGAGTAACCGAAATGATACCCTCAAAATTCTGATTAAAAGCAAGAAGAAGAAAAAGTTCGCTGCACTAAAGACATGCCTCTCGAGTCGCAACTCAAAAACTGTCGGGGAAATATTTTTTTTTTATTCTAGTAATTGCTTTGATTGATTGTAGCTTGTTTAACTAGCCCTTTTTTAATTAATTACTGACTCGAATAGTAAAGCAACACAGACAACAAAGTAATCTTGGTGGTTAAAGTACTTGGGACTCAAACCGCTTCGTCCACTTTTTCTAATATTTGAAGGCACGTGTTTCAAACTAACGTACTCCTGCATTCAAATAATAAAATACATAATTGAGGCTTAATTCTATTGCAATATAGCAACCACTGTCATTTGGGCACATTAACAGGCACTGCTTATGAAGATCAAGGATATATTTGTAAGCTCCTCGCCGACAGGCTGTCTATTTTAAGGAGGAAATGTTTCAGTTAATTTTGGATGTGGTCTTGTTTCTTCTAAGTGTTGTAATTAATAACTTTTTTTAGCCGTTCGACCTTTTTACTCTAAGCTAAGAATAAAAGGTCATACCTCAGAGGCTCGTAAGAAAATTCCAGCGATCGTATTACTCGATGGCACGAAAAGTGTTGTTTCGCACTGGCAGATCAGACACAGGATACAGAGAAGTTGCTTGCAGTCACTGCCACTCCAAACCTTTAAGGGGACACCTCAAGAGCGGGCTCATTGAAACGCCTGTTTTAAGCCGGGGTCCACACTACTCATACATCGTACAAAAGACAGTCTGCAAACACGATTCACAGCAA